CCTCAAAATTTTGTTTTTAGTCCTCGTTTTAGTCCTCAAAACGTTCGTTTTTTCGACTAAAACGAACGTTTTTTAAAGATTGAGGACTAAATTGTACCTTACTTTGGAAGAGGGACGAAAACCAGAAAGGTCAATAGTTTAGGGACTACAAACATATTTAACCCTAAAAATAATGAAGAATTCTCTTTCCAATTTTAAAAATAATGAATTTTCCTTCTAATTTTAAAAATGTTTAATACTCATTTGGTCCCTACTTTTAGGGGTTTGAGTAAGACCCCATATTTCGTTAAAAAAATGTTTAATTCAGTCTTTTCCACTCACGCCGTTAAAAATATAACAATGCAAATGACATTGTGGCATCTCATAAGCATGTGGCACACGTTAATAGATGGACTTAAATGATTTTTTAATTTAAAAAATAAAAATTCATGCCACGTCATCATCACCATCTCCCGACAAATCCTAATTTCTCTCAAGGAAACCCTAGCTGTCGCACCATCCAGCGCCGTCACCGTCATCCTTGCCTGCAGCCGTCCTCTCCAACGCATCACACGCCACCACCAAAGCTATGTAACGAGAACGCGAGAAACCCTAGGTCTCCACGGTTTGCTTGCAGGTCTGATTGTGGTTGCAGGTGGAGGCAAGCAGCGGCACGATTAGTGGTGTAGAAGAGTGACGATTCGCGATATGTAGCAGCTGGCGATTTGGCTGGTGGTTAGTGGTGGACGATTCTGTGGTGGAGATTGGACGACAGTGTTGTTGGCGCGACGACGATTTGGCTGGTGCGATGGTGAAAATGGTGAAGATTGGTGGTCGCGGCATAGCAAGGGATCGCATTGGGTGGTGGCGCGAGAACGAAGGTGAGATGCGAAGGTATAGAGGTGCAATAGAAGGGAAAAGACGCTTTGGTGGTGGCGCATGATGTGTTGGAGAGGACGGCTACCGGCGAGGATGGCGGTGATGATGCGGCGGCTAGGGTTTCTTGGAGAGAAATTAGGATTTGTCTGGAGATGGTGACGTGGCATTTACACCGTTATGTTTTTAACTGTGTGACCGGAAAGGACCGGCTTGAACATTTTTTAACGAAATATGGGATTTTACTGAACTTTTTTAAAAGGGATTACTTTGAACCAAACCCCTAAAATTAGGGACCAAATGATGTATTAAACCTTTTAAAAATAATAAAAAATTTACCTTTTAATTTAAAAAAATCATCTAATTTTAAAAATAATGAAAAAAATTTCTTCTAAAATTTAAAACTATGACTGAATTGAACAAAATTAACGAAATTTTAGACTAAATTAAACAAAATTAATGAAAATTAGGATTGAATTTAAAACAAGACACTAATACATACTTAGTTAACACATGACATTAATACTCAGTTGACACATGACATTGACACTGACTTGACACTAACATTATCATATGACATAATATTGACTTAACACGTGAACAACCTTTTCTAAATTAAGAATTTTTTTAAAAATTAATAAAAAATTTCAAACAAATTAAAAAAACTACAAATTGATATGTGACATACACGGTTCGTATTTCGTTAACAATTTAGACGTATTTATTAAAAATAACCGAATTGAAGATATTTATCAAAATAAGATCACATTAAATATTTAAAAAAAGTAATCTATTGAATAAAGTCGACAAAAACAAGAAAAAGAAGTATTTGAGCCTATTTCTCAATAGCCAAACTTATAACTTTTTTGATAGAATTATTCTTTGTTAGCTCATTAATTTTCTTGAAATAATTGTTTTGCATACTGATTTTATCTTAATATATGATTATTTGTGTGAATTTTAATTGCTGATTATAAAAAGTCCGTAGTAAATTTAAGGTTTTAATTTGTATTTTGTAACTATATCATTTATCATATTTTACTATATATGTAAATTTTCTCATTTATTTTATTATTACTAATAGAATATAAATATTATCATGTTAGATATTCATAGGTCTATTTTTTATATTAAATAAAAATAATTATGGTTTAATTAAGTTTTGAGTATATGTAAATTTTGAAACTTTCAATTGATTTTTTTTCTTAAATTTTGGTGGTTTATTGAATTTTTAAAATTTTAAAATTTTTAATTGAATTTTAAGATTTAGATTTTCCGGTTAAGTTGTCTTGTATTGTTATATAAGCATTTCTTTTAAAGATTTACAATATTTAATAAAATTCTTTTAAAGTTAATTAAAATTATAAAATTGTAAATTTAAAAAAAAAATTATAAAACCTACTATATACAAGGTTAATTTATTAACATCTTTTGTCAAGGTAAAACCCTTAAGACCTCTTGCAACTCTTACCACATACCATATTTTACTTTATTAAGTTTGAATGATTATTAGAGTGATATAATAACCTCTAACATATTTACTCCCAATTTAATGTGTATACTAATAAAACCAAATCTTAATCTCCTTGAATTAGTATCAACCATCCTTATACAAATCACATATACATATAATTTATTTAATAATCATATTAAACATACAAAACAATGAACATGGAAGACTAAACAACCCTGCTAATCCTGCTCAACAAGATTGTCTACTCGTTTAGTGAGTAGTGTTTGAATGCTTACTCGTCTAGTGATTAAACATCTCGTCTAGCCAAACAAGCACTAGAACACACAAAGATTAAATCACTCATAATTCGTCCAGCGGAGACATGTCGTGTCTAGCGACAGTCAAGTCAATGATTTCTTTGACTTTGGAGTAGCACAATGAGTATATCATCGCTCAACGACTACCAAGTGAGTGACTTTTTGGCTTTAGAGTGACCCAGCGAAACAGTTTCTCGCCCAACTAGTCAACATAATTTTGTAGAATATAATTATGAAAAATTTTGCTATTTCAACCCTGCCAATTTAGCCAATATCACATACAAAGTTCAAAATACACTAAATTCGAATAATACAACATACATGAAATAAATTCATCCCAATTGGGATACAATTCAGACAACATTCTCACATTTCATCATACGACCAATTCATGCAATTTAGGAACCTAACCCTAGTTCAACATGTCACACTCATCACATAGCTTAATCATTCAAACAATACACAGTATAATCATACAATTAACAATTTCGATATATCTATCAATTTGAAAACAATGCAATTAGCTTCTTTTACTTGTTACCTAACTCAAACAACTCTAAAACACAAAACAATTCTAATTCCACAAGATGCTTTATCTACACATAGAAACATCACAAAAACAATAAAGATATATCTTTATGATCACTAATAAGCAATATTAGGAAATAATGTTAAAAAGAATTTTTAATATTATTTAAATAAGAAATAAAAAAAACAACGTAACCATTTAAAAGTTATAAATTCATTTATGTTTCTCTTTCATCTCAATTATTTTCTTTCTTTCTCCTTTATCTTTCACGCTATATTAGGAAAGTTAAATTCTTTTTTATATTAGAATAATTTTATGAATAACATGTATTTAAAGTATTCCAAAAGATAATAAATCCCATATTGCTTAGTTTTGTAAAGATGTAATTCAAGAAAAACAATAAAAACAGTTGAGAGTGCTTTTAAACCTTTTCACATTATTCATCATTACCAATAATGAAATAATGGGATTCTGTTATACTCTATGATGAAGTGTGGTGAGGACTTCAAAAGGAATAAGGAACTTTAACTTTTATGAGAGTCAAAGAAGCATTCCTTGGAATTTTATGTTTGCTTTTAGGTCATTTTATAATGTGTCTCTAAAGTGCTTAACTGGGTTTAATAAAAAGTGAATGATGAAGGGTTCATTACCATCTAAGCCAAACTGTGTAAACTTTATGCTTCTCTTGGAAAGTCCTTAGCCAAAGTTCTCACTTTTCTACTTACTTTTATGATCTGTCTTTCTTTAATCTTCTCACCTCAATGCTTCTCCAAATCCATATTTCATAACGTTTTTCTCCTCCAACTGTATATTTCACATTGGATCCATTTCTTATATCAAGTTTCAACTTCAAGTTTTGTAGATATAATTCTGTGTTTAGTGGTTTGTTTTGAATAGAAGATGAAAAGAAATAAGGAGTAGAAAAGGGAAAAGAGAATAGAAAAAAATGGTATGGATTAAAAGAAAAATAGAAAAAATAATGAAAGTAGAGTTTATTTACTTACTATTAATGTTTTTATTTCATTTTATTTTTTTAATAGTACTCTTTTAATGGTTTATTTTATAAAAATAAAAATGTAGTTCTTATTAAATAAAATAAAATAATCTATGTATATTTTAAATATATAAATATAGTAATAATATATTTTGAAGAAGAAAATCAATAATATAATATATAGTTAATTATTTCTTTAAACATGATCATATGAAAAAAACGTAAATCCTTTTATATTGATGCAAAAGTTTTAATGTATGTTTTTTTTTTCACTTGTTTATTTATTTTATTTTTCATAATTTTCCTTTAATTTTTATTATCGACCTTTTGGTATTGATAGGAACAAGAAAATACAGACAAGATATAAGTGCTAAGATTTTATAAAAAAAAAGTTTTTTTAACATAAATTAATTATTAATAAAATCATAGATATTTCATATAAATAATATGATTAAAAAGAATTAGGACTATTATATAAAAAAAAACTTACTTTTAACTTTAAATGGTATATGAAACATTAACTATCATACTTAAAAGAAATTTTAAATGAACTTTTATGGATTTGATTTTATATTGAAAACTCATTATATTGTATTATGTTTAAGACTTAATGTTCGATAGTTGTGGATGTATTTATTAGTAAAAACATATAATTTAACGATGTTGTTGATGGAAGGTTTCTAAAATTGGTATATACTGGAACAGTGTGATGTTTGATTGGATGAAATAATACAGAAGGGTAAAATAATCATTTCATATTCCGCCCAGCCCAACATTGAAGCCGTACTTCCTCCCAAAATAACACCAGTTTACCAATTCTACCCCTCACCCCTTCCAGCTCACCAAATCTCAAACCCTGAACAAGCAAAAGAAAACCCTAAACCCGAAAGCACAGTCACTCTCTCTCTCTCACAGTCCACTGATGGCGTCGCAAATGGCGATCCTCTTCCGCACGCGTTCCGTTCTCTTCCCGAAACCCTCTTCCCTCATCAAAACCATATCCACATTCCCCTTCCTCTCGCAGGAGCCTCAGCTGGCGGATCCCACCCCTCTCCCTCCCAACCCCGCCTCCGGCAGCCCTCTCTACCACCAAAACTGGCGCACCCCTGGCCCCTCCTCCCATCCCTCCGACCACGCGATCGCTCCCATCGGATTCTACAACCGCTCACCCTCCGATTCTTACGACCCTCAGGCGCTACTCGACCTCTTCGGCGATTGCATGGCCTCGAACGAGTGGAACGAAGTCAAGAAAACCTTCGAGACCTGGGTTGGCGCCCTCGACAAGACCGGCAAGCCTAACCGTCCCGACGTCAACCTCTTCAACCACTACCTCCGCGCCAACCTCATGCTCGGCTCCTCACCCTCCGAACTTCTCGACCTCCTCGCTCAGATGGATGATTTCAATGTTAAGCCCAATACGGCGTCGTTTAACCTCGTCCTCAAAGCCATGTGCCAGGCTAACGAAACCGCCGCCGCGGAAAAATTGCTCCAACGGTTAGTCTTCTAATCGCACTCGTTTCCTTGAATTGAAACCAATGCAGTTCTTTAGGTTTGATGATTTTGGACTATTACTATATCAGTATTATCTTATTATTGTTGTTGTTTGGAAATTAGTTTCTCCTACAAATCTGTAGGGGTTTATACCTTTGCTAAATTTTTGTTTTTAAATTGTGTTTAAGTTTAAGAATAAGTTTATTTTTTGTGGAACATCATAATCATGACAGCTAATGTTTCAAAAGGGTTGATCATGATGTCATTGGCTTCTGAGTAAATCTGATTCAGGAGGTGGCTACATGAACCCCAAAAAATGGCCTTTTGGCTACTATAAACTAAAAGTGTGTAAAAAAATAACAGTTTGCTTTTGCAAATGATATAATTGAAGTTGAATCTAACCAAAGCCATCTAAGGGCACCAAAGTAGGCAATTTGATTGATATGAAAGGCAACTTCAACATAGAGAGAAAAGGGCAAGAAGGGTTTTCTTCATGTTTTGTAAATGGAAGAAAAAACTGGTTTAATACAGCATGCAAGCAACCAACATCTTGCCATTAGGAAAAAATTAAATAAAAAATTGAACTTGAAATTCAGAGAAATAAATGAATGATTGCGTATTAATTTAAACAAATCAGCAAGATCCATGATCAAGAACATACCTAGGGCTTGAGGGGTAAACGCATGTGGATGCTGAAGCTGCAGATCAAAGAGGTAGGGACAACAACAAACAGAGAAGAATTAGAAAAAAAGGGAATTTTTTCAAGAAAGTTCAAATTTTTTGAAGGTGACTAGAAAGTGGTGGCCACTTACTAGGTGGATTTTGGCTTGGGGTGGCAGCACCTGCAAATCACAGCTTCCCTGAGCCTGACCCTTTCTCTGGAAATAGCTATTAACAGCATAGTTGCAGTGATCCTTCACAGTGTTAGGTTGGTAACATGCTCCATTTTGAAGAATAGGGGAACAATCAGCTCTTGCACCACATGCATAATCTATAGCACCTGTTCATGACCAAAAAAAAAATTGTAAAAAATGTAAACAGAACAGTTAGTCCATTAAAAATCCCATCTTTCCTTAAAAGCTCCAGCCTTCAGTAAAACAGAACAAAAATAGAAAAGTTCCTGAACAAAATGCATCTCAAAATCTCAAGCTGTTTCACAAAACCAAAACAGAAAAAACAGTAAGACATAGCAATCATGAGAACAAATCTGAGAGTTTATATATCATGATACAAAAAAAAAGCCATTAAACACCACATGCTGAACTGAGCTTGAGAAAAACACAGGCAAATCCAGGAGCTTACTTGAATGGCCAGTGAAGGCAAGAAAAAACACAAAATACATCACAAGAGTCATGATGATGGTGATGATGGATGTTGAGAGGGTATAAGAGAAATTTCTGTGATGGAATTTGGAGGGAATAGCAGAGGGTACTCCAGTGTAAGGCCAAGGGAAAAAAGAGAGAGAGGAAAGCAGAAGAGTGGAAGAAGTTTTGAAGAATGGAGATTTCTGGACAATAGGTGAGGTGGGGGGAGCCTGTAAAGAGTCCTTGCAGTCGTGAGTGGTCAAATGACCATGATAAAAAATGAGCTAGTGAGAGGGCGTTGAGCATTGCTTATGGTTAAGTTCTTAATAGTCCAGTGTACAGCATTGTAAGTTCTTAATTTGCAAAAAGTTAGATCAAATTAAGGTCTTGGATTAACGTTTCTTGTAAACACTTGTAGGATTAGAACAATAAGAAAGAAAAGTAAATTAAGTTTCTTACTTACACGAGTGGAGCTATTCCAAAGTACTGAAATTGACATGTGGATATTGGAGAGGTTTTGGGTTTGGTTATGGGAAAATTACTGTTCTGAAATGGCGTGTAATACTGCTTACCAGGCAAGAGCTAACAGTGCTAGAAGAGCTGCCAATGGTTTAACTATATATTACCTTAACTAATATTTACATGTTTAGTTAATTGTAATTGGATTGAAAAGAATTGGGTCGACGTTTTGAATTTTTTATCGTTAATCTTCGTGTAGTGGAGATCCCACACTTGTTAATAGCCAAACTGTTACATGACAAAGCTTTAGAAGTTGGAGTTGTGTCTAATTTCCAGCTGATGTGAAATTCTAGCTTCATTGTCAAGTCATCAGGTTGAAAGATCAGTCCATACACAGACAGAGTGGGTTCTATGTCATTTGATTTGATTTAATTTGAGGTGAGCCCACTCCTAATATCTAGCTTTTACGAAGCTAGGCTCTGATGTAAATTCATCTTATATTTTGAAGGAGTGTAAGTGTTTCTGTTAATGTTTCTTAGGAAATCTCCAAGAAGATTCCTGCTGAACATTAAGATAACAGGGCATTAAAGATGTGAATGCACACTTCAAAGGAGCTCAAAGAGAGGAGTGGACGATTCAATTGAATGTGCACTTCAAAGGAGTGGACGATTCAAGACATAAGACTAAAAGCTGGAGCACTTTCAAAAGAACAAGTTCACAATGGCTGAAATGTTAGTGTATATACTCAAAATTCCAACCCTTTACAAGTGGTGGAGGGGCTACCTTATGTAGGCATGAGTAGGGACCTCTTAACAAAAATACAAAGTATCTTTCTAGAAGGTATGGCAACCTAAAAACTAGTGACCTAGCATGACCTAGGCACCTCCTTGCTCTCCAAGGATGAGACACACGCGATCTAGAAGGTCTATTGAGTCTCCTCTCCACTCCATGTGCCGCCCCAAGTGTTGTGCCAAGCTCCAATGCCCTTCATCCATCAAGGTGTCCTTAGCAAGCTTGGGGTGTCCAGGAGCAATCCTCATGTTGGGCTAGGTTTTTCACCATCCAAAACTTCCAAAGGGAGTCTCAACATTAAAAGAAGAGGTGCCAAAAGCAAACCTACAAAAACACAAGAGAAAACATAAGTCTAGAATTTATTCTAAGACAAAAACTAAATCAAGTAAACAAAGAAGGTGAAGAAACTTCCCTCCAAAAATAGTTTATTTTCTCTAAGCACTTTCCTTTATCTTTGGTAGGAGTTAGGGGCTCATTAGGCTCTGTACTTCAAATGAAGTTTCTCACACTCATCTGAATGGACCTCCCTTTTATTATTGAACAAAAACCACAGTTGAAATGCCAGCAAGCAGACCAATGAGACTAACCACTTCAAAATAACTTTCATAGTGTGTAAGCTAAATTTGTCTGTGGTATTTGTACAAGTAATTGAGCACATTTACATTTTTTCTTTATATATAAAGTTTTTCTTTGTTATTATGATATTATCAGGATGCTGCAGACAGGAAATGAGACTCTCCCTGATGACGAATCATAAGACTTGGTCATTGGATTGATCTTTTCTACAGACCAGATTGATGCTGCGTTCAAATATATAGATCAAATTTTGAAATCTGGTAACATCTTGTCAATGAAGGTATTTATGAACTGTGTAAGGAGATGTCTCAGTAAGGGAAGGCTTGATACGTTGGTGACAATAATTGAAAGGTGCAGGGTGAGTGATTAGTCTTGTTGACGCTTAATAAACTGTCTGAATTGTTATTTTGTCCCTATATTTTAGAAAACCTGTAATTTTGATTCAATCCTCAAATTTCTATACATTTATTTCATTTGTAATTTTAATTAATTAATTTATTTCTTGATGATACCTGAAATGAATATGATAGGTTTAGGGTTCAATTAAATTGAAATGAAACGTATCTAAAATTGGGGACTTAAATTTCAGAGGAAATATTAAAAGGAGACCAAAATTGCAATTTAGCCATAAATTTGTCTTTAACAGATTGACTACTAACTTGATGTTTCTTCTGTTAATGTTCTCAAATCTCTTTGTTATTTCCAGGCTTCAGATGTAAACAAAGCTCTCTGCCCCAACTGGGACTTGTGCAATTTTATTATTGAAACTGCAACTCGGGAGGATAATAGCAAACTAGCTTTTTATGGCCTGGAGTATATGGCCAGATGGATTGTAAAGGGTGAACGTCAAAGAGCCCCTATATTTCTGTCTGTAGATGAAGGTTTAGTTCTGTCAGCAATTTTGACTGCTGGTAGAACCTATGATTCTGAGTTGCTAGGGGCATCATGGGCTGTGTTGGACCGCTCACTGCGTAAAAAGAAAGCCCCTAATCCCGAGTCATACCTAGGGAAGATATATGCCCTTTCATCAATGGGAAATCTGCAAAAGGCTTTTAGTACTCTGAATGAGTATGAGTTGGCTTATGGAGACGCGGGTGAAGAAGCTGAAGAATTGTTCTGCCCATTTACCTCGTTACATCCATTGGTTTTGGCATGCTCTAAGAAGGGTTTTGAGACTCTAGATAATGTATATCTTTCTCTGTTGAACAAAATATTTAGTAGTACCTAACCTTTCACATTTGTTACCATTCCAATCCTGTGATGCATGGCATTTTTATTGAATTCACCACCAGTTTTGATATTTACAAGTTTTCATGTGGAAATAGATGATACAATTTCTATTTTTGACAATATATTTAAAAAAGCTTCTATGTTGACGTGACATATGTTACATTTATAAAATGTCATTTCTACTGTTGACAGGTTTGCAGCGTAGATTGAATTTTTGCCATGATCTATGCAGTTTTTACTAATGTTGCATTCAGCTCCACCTTCAGCTTCATCTAATCATGCTCTGTTCTATTTAGGTTTATTTTCAACTGGAGAATTTAAATCATGCCGAGCGTCCTTATAAATCTGTTGCTGCACTAAATTGCGTCATTTTAGGATGTGCAAACATATGGGACCTTGATCGAGCTTATCAAACTTTTGAGTCAATTGGATCTACTTTTGGGTTGAGCCCTGATATTCATTCGTACAATGGGCTGATATATGCCTTTGGGAAGCTCAAGAAGGTGATGATTCCTTCTCCCAACCCACTATATATGTATCTTTTTGTTCATCCTCTTCACTGCTTTTACAGATCCCACCTTTAGAAAGCCTGCGTTAGACATTAAATCTGTTTTCCAAGCTTTGATGCATGATATTTGACATTTGTTACCTCTATCCCTTTATATAGACGTCTTTTTGAGAAATTTGTTCGTCCCTTTCTATAGAACCCCTTTCACATTGTCTTTTTGAATGATCTTTTCTTATAAAAAATACCCTCGATTACTTTCAACTTTTATTCAATAAACAAAACCTTTTTTCTCTCTGGTATGAGGATTGAGAAAGATGACTAGCCACAAGACTGTCTAGTTTAGCTGTTAGGAAATGAGTAGAAAGATTGAGATGAGGTGTCACTATTTGCAAGGGTAAACCTTTTTTCAAATTTAATGCCATTGTCTTTATCAACCAACTTTTCGAAGTCCGATGTTTCAGTTAAAATGCTCGTGTATATATGTAGGTACTATATCGATGCTTCTCAATTTTGCTTTTCTTTGTTTCAATTGTTTTGGGATGCATAGGATAACAGGAAGGGATGCAAATGTTAGGTTGGAAGCTGATGTAGGATTGGATACATTTTTTTTTTTTGCTTAATTACTATGTATTACAGGCTTTCAAAAAATTGTGTAATACAGCAAGATATGGTATGTCAAACAAAGAAAACTCTCTTATCTCTTTAATTATCTTGTGGCAGACACAGGAAGCTTCAAAAGTGTTTGAGCACCTGGTGAGTCTGGGTCTCAAGCCTAATGCAAAATCATATTCCCTGCTAATTGAGGCCCACCTGATTAACCGGGATGTCAAATCTGCTCTTGCAGTGATTGATGATATGGTATCTACACTGTTCTTTTTTCTTTAAAAAATGTATATATTTGCAAGCAAAGGTCATTGATGCATATCAAATTCCTTGGCAGATGTGTGCTGGATTTGAACCGTCAAAATCGATTCTGAAAAAGGTCAGGCGGCGATGCACGAGAGAAATGGACTACGAAAGTGATGATCGAGTACAATCAGTGGCAAATTCCTTGAATTATAGATTGGGTTCAGAAAGCCGAGGGGACATTCTGTTTAATCTTGACTACAGTGGGGGTTATGCTTGAATGGTAAGTTTTGACAATTTATGGTAAGTTGACACTTACAAGATTATTTTTTACAAAATGTAAGGATTATTTGATTTTGGAATTTCTTTGTTTTCATTTCACATTTTCACTGTTTTCTGTATAAAATGTATTTTTTTTTTATCATTTTCACTATCACTCAAACTTTTGAAATTAGGAAACCAAGTGGAAATAAAAACAAAAATGAAAAACTCAATTCAAATGGACCCGTATTTTACTTAGAGTGAAAATATTTACTTAGAATGCAGTATGCACACTAATGCACTTCAGTTTACTAATAAAGGAGTGTCTAAAACTATTGTTTGTTTTTCTCCTTGGATAACCTAACAGTAGAATGTTGTTTAGCACTAAACCCACTCTTCATATTTGATATTATATAGTTGTTTTTGGGCAGGTGCATTGTATCTGATGTCCCAATGAGTTATTGGAATATTTGACATACCTTTTATTGCATCCATAGCCAAGGGAATCACTGTATATAAGTGGATGCTGTTCTGGTTGCCGGGTCAGGATAACACATAACTCGGCACACCCTCTATTTTTGTATGTGTTTGTGAAGTGGAGGGAGATTATTGATGATGGCATTAGGTTTCTTAGTGAAAACCGGAAGCAGTGACTAATCCAATTTTAGTAGAGAGGATATAATCAAGCTGGACTCTTTGGTTTTCTTTATTTTTTGGTTTTTTGACGACCTAGTGTGGCATCCACTAAAAGCTGCAAGGATTTGTAGACTCTATTTATGGTGCAATGGCTGTACTAAATTCTACTGCAAATAATGGGAACATTTTCAATACAAACTCTCCATTTGATGATGTCTAAATTAACTTGAGATAAAATGTCTTTGTATAGAGAATGCTTTGCTTGGATGTTATGTTTAATTGAACAGAGATAAAAGAGAACTGGATAATATTAGTGTGTTGTGAACCAAATTTTTAAGCACCCGCTTCTAAAGTATTATTTAAGATTAAATACAAACATATTATACTCAAGAAAAATAACTACTTATGACTAGATGCTGTCTTCGATTATAATTATATATTTTTAAGCAATGAAACTAAATATTATAAAGACTTTTAAAATAAATCGTTATTTTAGTATTTATTGTTACTATACCACGATTAAATGTGTTTGACGTTTTTGTTTTTATAAGTAATATCTTAATGTTGTTTATTGTAATATTTAAATTCTATTTTTGAACGAAGATACTTTACATTCTATCTTAATATTACTTTTACAATTATAGTTATTATTAATAATTTATACTTTTATTTGTTAAAATTGCTTAAAATTACATAATAAATAAAATAATGTTCCTTAATATTTAATGATCAAAATAATTTATCAAAATTTCTTTGTAAATAGCCTTTTTATATATATATATATATAATATATAATATATATATATATATATATATCTATATATATATATATATATATCTATATATATATATATATATATATATATATATGCACATAATGTTCTCTAGTTTTTCTAATTTAACTTGTATAACAAACATTAATACTTAATCTTTACAACTAAAAATTAAAGAGGGCAAGTTATTTAGGTTTTGTTTAGGGTGTTGGACTGACATGCCAGATTGGGCGGATTGAACCGGCCTGATTTACTGGACTACCGGACTGGTTGGGATTGCTCATCATACGGTTCCGTGATTTGAAAAGTAAAAACTCGCTCATTTTATACGGTGGTTCGCTTCGAGATTTGAAAATTGAAAACTCGTCTCTTTTATATTATGATTGTTCATTTTCACTGTCAGATTTTTCAATATGGGTTTTATAAGAAAAAGACATAAAAACACTAAACTCCCATTTCCCGTGGATGCATGGATTCAATATGAAGTATAAAGGTAAGTTTCATTTTCTGCTAAACTTTCGTTTTAAGGTTTAAATCTTGGATCCTAACACATTTGACCTTTTTGGGAATTGTACTGTGATCGACTACCTCTCATACATATCAGTACAAGTCTCGTCATTATACAAGTACATGTTAAATTATTAACTCAAAATATACTCAACCCATCCCTATTTATATTGGAAAAGAAGAAAAAGAAATTGTAATTGCATCAAAACTTCAAGAATCATTATTACTTGATATCAATATATGTACATGCCAACAAAGTCACAACTTTTTTTTTACCTAAACCTAATTAATCATATTAAAATAATGGTGTGACAAATAATGTTGTCTCAAGTTAGATTTCATAGTCATACTTCAAAATTTAATTTTTTTTTCACATATGACAAAAATCATTAATATATATATCAACAAAACATGACAAAAAGATTAATCAACTCAAAATATACAACTAAACACTTATAATTAAACTTTTTTCCAATGTTTCAATCGCAAATTCATTAAGATATTTTTAGGATCAATCATCTCAAAGGTTGGAAGGAGGAAGAAGTATATAAACTATACTTGAACTCAATTTATAAGTGATGTGAGACTATTAGGTGTATTGGAAAACTTCTTACAGACAAAACCTAAATAAACTCAAATAGGTGAATTCTAAGTAAGATAATGAATTTAATCGCAAATACAAACCAATAAACCCAAGATTAAAGATGTTAAGTGTTAAGAAAAAATATGTTAATCATATCTTTCCACACTTACACTTTGCACTCTAAGCAAAAGATCTAATGAATTAAAAAATTAAGCAAATACAATTAGCATAATATGTTGGCAAAGCACGAAGTGTTGATTTGTTATGATTTTGATGATGCATGCACCTCTTGTTGGTTTCTCTATTCATGTCTCATTATCTTAGTTTTATCAAAATGTAAAGCATAAATCAACCTATAAGATTATCTTGAGCATATTTGCATTGAAAAACTGATTTTTATGCTTTTTCTGAACATAATAATTCACTATAATAGTCAATTACCTCAAAACTTCTTTAAAAAAGAAAGCTCTCTCCCTTTCAAATTAACATTTGTTGTATCTCTTAAATATAAAGAACTCTTAGTTTGTGATTTAAAAATAATTTTGAAAGTACTTTTACATTTTGCATTTGTTTTTTAAAGAAAGATTACTTAAGGCTCATCAAGATTCATTAGAGAGATGATCAGGCTATAGGTTCTTATTTTAATATCCATCACATAAGATTGATAAGTTTATTTTTATTTTTCTTATAATTTAAAAAATGTGGTGAATGTTGAGGTGAGTGTGTATCATCTATTTTTGTGTAATTCTTGAAGTGTTATTTCAAGAGTTGTGTATGTATAGAGTGTAGGTTATTGTGTGAACTTGTAATTTTGAATAAGTGAAACTTCGGTTTAAGTTGTTGGATAACTAGACGTAAATTCTTGTTGAATTGAATCAGTATAAAAATCTTGTGTCTTTTGTGTTTGATTTGATTCTTGATATTGCACCTCATTCCAAATTTGTCAACAAGATTCATAAAAATGTATGGTCTATTATTTTTGAAAAATCATTTTTTAGTAAAACTACCTCTCCAACTAGTTTGATTTTAACCTATTTTCTTTTTCAATAAAATACAAAATTCAAGGAACTAAAGAATAAAAAAGTTAACAATATTCTCCGTAATTTAGCAAACAAGAGCGTTGTTAAGTTAAAGGATGAATCAAATATGATAGAATCATCAAAGACATAATCTCCAAATGTCAAAGCTTGTGTATATTCACTGAAAGCACACAAGTAAGCAAGCATTGACATAAAATTGTTAAGGCTATAATGTCTACAACTGAACCACTTACAACAAAACATCAAAAGGACTTGTATATCTCAAAATAAAGAAAGTAACATAAATCTCAATATCAATATTATACTCCTCAATTTTTTTTAAATGCTTAATATTATTTTTTTAACACATTTCTGAGTTTTTCTTTATTCTTTATTTAGTTTGAATTATCCACATGAAGAGATAATAAAATGAAGCACATTCTTATTCTTAATTAAGGCTTTATTCGAAAAAAAAAATAATTTCAAAAGTTCCTTCACCCATATTATTATTTTCTCCTTTAAGACATATAATGAACTTTTTATAATATGAATTGAGATATATAGGCTCAAAGGGATAATAAGTGGATTAATTATTAAGGTAGGTTGATTCTTATCAACAAAAGAAATATCTCAATCATCTCAATACATACACGCGAACCAAGTAACAAATTAAAAAAATCATGTCAAGTTCTAAAGCATAAACAAACATAATTGAAGTCACACGAAAAAATTGGATTGGTATAAAATAATCAAATCTCACCAAAAACAATTATATTACATTAGATTCAACAAAATAATTCTAAGAATCAACTTATTAAAAATGCAATGAATACAATCAACCTAACTCATGAAATTAATTATCCAAGAATTATGAAAATGCTAACCACTTATACAAATCCTAAAAATCCAATGAAAAAATATACTGTATGTATTCCTTATTATAGGAATTTTGTTTTTATGTAAAGATAAAAAAAAAATTACTAACTACAACTCTTTCTTTTACAACACAAATAGTGAATGCAATAAATACAAATTAACTACTAAACAATAAACAGTAAACAATAAAAGAAGAGAAAAATTACCACAAAGTAAACAATAAAATATTTCTAAAACTGAAAATAATCTTTAAAATCCTAAAACTATATTTCTCCTCTCCCTACTTAAACAAATTATAGATGAATAAAATATAATACAATGAAAAAAAAAAACTCTCTTCAAGGTGGATAAATAATAAATTTCATCACAAGAGAATACACTAAGCTCAAAACTAATCTTAATCATCTCCTCTAATAACACAAGACTCTCATGAAATAACTTAAGACTATACAACGCTCTACCATGAATTCACACTTATCATAATTTAGACTAAAATTTGTCTTAATGCATATACACTTAAACTATGAGAGTGCATAAAAGGAAAATCCATAAACACTAAAATCATTCATAAAAGAAAGTCTATGTGATGTTCAAGTAAATAAGTATAAATACTTATTAAGAAGTTCTAGGACCATTACATCTCTGAAAATATTTTAAGAGCATTTCATAAACTAATAACAACTAGAACAACTATGAGAAACTATACTACTAATAGCAGATAATTCACTATGTACTCATCACACGGCTCCGTGAATGAAATATGGAGAAAACTCAGTGCTTTTATCTCATAATTGTTTATTCAAACTGAATAGGCTAAGCGATATGGGATTAGTACGAAACAGAGACATTAACACTGAACTCCTCAGCTATTATGTTCCGTCCCTTCTCTGTCATATGTGGTGCCTTTATGTAGTATTATAGTTTTAGCTGTGATATTGAAGAGTCATGAAGTTAAGTTTCATTTTCTGTTATTTTTCCTGCAATCCAGAATTCAATAACTAAAGAGACTCATACTCAATCATTATAATACAAAATAGCTTAGGATATATGAAGTTATTTTTTCTTTAAAAACTTTAATGTGTTTCCTTTCTCTTTATGGCCAATAATAAAAATGACTTATTTATATTAAAAATATATAAATAAATATATTTACAAAATAGAAGCACATAGGTGGTGCTGAGATGTCTCAAAGTTGACACTCAACACTAAAAATAGAAAGATAGCATCCAAAGAGTGGTGTTCAGTGTTCGATTAAAGAGAGTTAGACTCACGCGCCATGACAGTGGCACTGAGTGTCACGACAGATTCTAATACAATTCAAACCTGACTTTGGACACTCTACACCCTATTTCTAGTGACCCTAGGACCCTCTAAACATTGAGAAACTCTAAAAAACACAACTTTAACTCCATTTGATTACTTGAAACCAAAATCACTTCTCTAAGCTACCCAAACTTTTTTCTACTTCTTCTAACACCAATTTAAGCAAACTAACAGGATGGAGAAGTCATAATACATTAGATGACACACCGTAACACCTCAGTTTACTCCTAACCTTTCTGTTTCAAGTTTTCACTAGTTAAACCTCAAAGTTGAACTAAAATGTGCTAATGAACTCACCCTATTATGCAATTATCACTCTCACACTAGATTTCACTTATTTAAATGCCTAGACAAGTCATAATTGGTCTAATAACATACTCCCAACTTCCCAAAACAATTCACGCCCCTTAATTTGCACTTAAAATCCTTCAAAACACCAACAATGAACTACCTCTTTGTTCTAGATTAGTTTTAAACAAATTCACACTTCTCACAAGTCTCAAATAACTCTATAATAGACCTGATATAGTTATTTCCTTACACCAACACCTATATCTCAAAATCACCTATTAAAACCCCTTTTTTAGACTTAAAACCCAAAGATTTGATCAATCATTACTTCAAACAGTTTGCATTCAATTTCATATATTTACACAACTTCATATTACAAAATTCATGACAACATTGACATTCAAATTTCATCACACCAGAATTAGATCATCCAATACCAAAACATACACATTTAATTAAACCAACATAGCATAAATACTAAAACTTAGTACTCAATCAAGTTAATACACATATAATCCCTAAACTTACAAAACAATTAAAACTAAATAGTTAACATCTAGCTTCCCTTACCTTACACCAATGGTACAAAGCTCTAAGAACAGACCCCTTTTATTTCTCGCGCAAGGAACTTCTAGAAACACATACGAATCACCAAATTGTAATAGAAAGGAATCTTTAAAACTACAAATTTACATATAATCAGGATGAGAGATCCTAAAGCTCATGCGACAAGAGATTATCACACATGATCTCAAACTAAGAACGAAAGAGAAGAAGTGATAGAAACTTACTTGCTCTAAATAAGAAATTAGTCGGATGGATATGTAGACCTCGTTGCAGTGATTGATTAGGCACCTCTTGATCGTCAAAGAGATGACTCAAGAATTAGAAAAATTGGAGAGAAGGTAAAGAGAACTAAGAGAAAGAGTTTTATAGAGATGAGTTGTGCTTTAAGTAATGCGATAGGTTTAATAAATTTCATTTATATTATCAAATTATTTTAAAATATACTACTCGGTCTCATTATTTTAAAACAACTATCAACTCTAATACTCTATTTTTTAGGTTCTTACAGTCTCGACCATTCTTGGTCGTCCTAGTCGAATTTCGCTTATTTTCAACCAGTGTCGACTCGGTCAAATTCAGCCAATTTCTATCGAGACCAACTTGACTAAATTTCATTTGTGGCTGTCTTAGCCGAATTCGGTCCATTTTTAGTTGGGGCCAATTCGACCCAATTTGGCCGATTTTCAGACAAGACTAAATCAAACAAGTTTCACATGTGGCTTTTCCAAGCATGGTTGTTCCAACTATTTGTCCAATTTTTTATCAGGGCTGACTCAATCAAATTTTTGGTCAAGACTGACTTGACTGAGTTTCGTATGTCGCCTTCCTAGTCTAATTTAGTCAATTTTAGGCTAAGGGTGACTTGACTAAGTTTCGATTTTGTCTGTCTTGGTTGAATTTGACCGAATTTCGACCTCGATCTATTTCAGCATTTTTCCCAACTTAGCCCGTGTCAACCTTTGGTTTGACCCGACTCATCTCAACTTTTTAATTTTTGTTGTCTATGGGAGAACTCGTGTTCTTAAGTGAAAATCTTTCATATCTACTTAGTTAATTTTTTTCAAGATTTTTAAATAATAGTTCAATTCAATTTGTTAAAACAAAAAGTAATTTGATTCAGACGAACTATTTTTTGGTTTAGTGCACTTTTTAACATTTCAGTTCAAACACTATTTTTTGGGTGTGTGTTTAATTATTTCTAATTGTTTCTTAATTTTTTATTAAACACTTAATAAGAATTAGTTAGTGAAGAAATTATAAAACATTTAAAATAACTAAATTTTGAATTGTATAACTTGATTAAGATAAAGATTCAATGAGATCGATTCTTGTAATACATTTTTTAATTAATGCATTTCTAAAATGATTATGATATTTACCACTAGTAGTCCTAAAGAGGGGTTTTAATCTTTAATGTAAAAAAAATCATTTTCTTAATTTTTATTTACACAGCTTTGTAGAAGATAAATTGCTATAAAATTATTAAGAGATTTGTTTAAGATAACATATGTTCTTGAGTAGAGACAATTGTTTTTTATACTTAATTTTATGTCTTTTTTACGAGGAATATATATTATGAATGAAATGGGTAAATATAATTTTTTTTTAGATTTTTAATTATAAAATATCGTAGTTTGTTTAAAATTAGTGTCGTTCAAAAATTGTGCAGTTCAGTTAAAAATTAGTGTAGATCGGAAACATGTTAAAGTACATAGCATAACAGTTCAGTTTAGTTCATATACAGTTCAGTGTAATGTAATTTGTTAGAATAAAAAATAGTTCATTGAACCATCTGGATAGTTTGGCTAATCGTGATTAGGTCAAGAACAGTCCAAGGTTGAATTGATCAATCCAAGGTAGATAAATAATTTTAATTAAACTAATAATCATATTTACGAAAGATTGAATTTTGATCTGACTATTAAATTAAACTTAATTACAGGGTACCCACAAGAGAACCCTTCCAAAAAGTTGCGTATGCCGCTTATGATGACGAACCCACGGTATTCTTTAGTGAAAGGCGAAAGAATAATATCACACGGCTCCGTGATCTGAGACACTTTACAATTCACATATTTTATTAATAGTTTCTTATTTCTACTCAAGAGACTTCTTGATGTGGGCTTAATAATACATACAAAATCACAACTCCTTCTGTCCACTTTTATGTTACATTGGGTGGTTTGATTGTGAGGGACTCAAAGTCCTCCCTTTGGAGATAACTCTATGCATTCAACCTCACTCACACTGCTTCCTCAGTTTCAGGAAATCTGTTCTAATTTTAAGTCTCTTAATTCAATGATTGTTAGTTTCCCAATGTACTAAAACTTTTGGTCATATCCATTTTGGCAGATAGATGAAATTTTAATTACAATTATGCTAAAAAACTGCAGTGCTTGAAACATTTCTTGCAATGAACCAAATACTTTTGCAGTATTATGTTTTTGCAGTGACATTCAAGAGCCATAGATTATTTTGTAAGTTCCATTTGCTGCTAAATTTCGTGAAAGGTATAGAATATTTTAATTTTAATGTTTTAAAATACTTTAAAAATCTTTTTAATATATTAATATAAATGTGAATTAAAGACTCATCAGAAAAATAACACCAACATATTCCATTGAAGAACTTGAAGTGAAAAATGTTCTCGAGATAAATAACTATATATACCTATTCTTAACAATTCCAAAATATTCTATTAAAGATTTTGAAGTTAAAAATGTTCTCGACATAAATAACTATACCTATTCTTAACAATTCCAAAATATTCAATTAAAGATCTTGAAGTTAAAAACGTTGTGGAGGTAAATACTTATTATTTAACAATTTGTTCTTTTGGAGAACAATTTGTAATATAATATTGGACCTTCAAGCAGATAACAGTTTAAATTTAACAATTGATAAGAATTATATTGATTGTATATATCAAAGCTAAATGCTAAAATGACTCATATTCAATCATTATATGATATCAATATGTATATTATATATATATATATATATATATATATATATATATATATATATATAATTTTCTTATCAATACTAAATAGTATATTTTAAATAATTTAATTAATTAAATTATAAGCATTTATAATTGTACATAGTATAATGTAACACCATACAAATATAATTGTATATATCCTGCTCAAAATATGTTATAATTCAGATACAGAACCCTTCAATAAATGAGATCTATATAAAATATTAACTCTTCTAAGATTAGAAAAATATGATAATATAAACAAAATTGAAATTATAATAAACTGAATTAATTTATTACATATATATGTTAGTTAGTTGTTATATATTAAGTGTATCTTATTTGTTATATCTTGTGATGGTGGTACTTGATAAATACGGATAAATGTTTTCATATAACTCCAAAAATATCTTAAAGCTTCAGCAGCTTCTCAAAGTTTTTAGCCTTGAGCAGTAAGAGATGAACAATTTTAGGGATGTTGATCTGCTTCCTGTTCATCTCAATTAGAAACATCTTGATTTTTGTCTTCATTTCCCACAAACCAAGACTCAGATCTACCATAATGTTCATTTGTCATAGAACTAGGAGTAGGAGGTGTGAAGTGTTCCTCTTACGAGAATGGCGTCTAGACATGGTAATTTAGTTGGCTAATGGCTGTAAACGATGGATGCAAATGCTAGTGCATGAGTGCAGTATTTATAGATCAAAACACATTAATTTCAAAATCAATTACTTTATTTGTGTAGAATTAATTCTTTAATGCAATTAATAAAATCAGTGTAAGATTTATTGGTCTAGATATCAAGGAATCATCAAGCTGTAGTTCTAAGGCTTGTTATGAATGTATCAATCAGTTTAAAACATGTAAATGCATACACATTGAAAATATGTAGAATGAACCTCGACCTAGGCAACCTCCACCTGGAGCCGACTTGCATGGATGAAGCTTCTTTTCTCTTTTTGGATGGGCTAACATCAACATTAATGACTAGGAGAGACCTCACCCAAATGCGGCATGAAAATCAAACTTCTTGAGCAAAACAATGAAAATTACCATAATTAGAAAAGCTTGAAATTGCGAGTAAAGGTACATGAAAGTTACAAAAAAACATGGTAGAAGGGTTCTTAAGATATGCTAAGCAGCGACTTACTATTAATTGACTAAGGAAGGTCCTTCAAAATAACAATATTCGACTAAGGAAGGTCCTTCAAAATAACAATATTCCTTCTTTCCTCGGCCGAGATGTTCAGATACAAAGTAAACTTTTCAGGCCTTTTCCAATAGAGAGGAAAATGCATTTCTCCTTATCAGAATCAATACACCTAAGCTTGAAAGCCAAAGTCTTAAAACCCTGTAAGATTGAGTATACATGGAAAAAAGAGACCAGTATTGGACACCATTCAAGGATAGCCAGTTGACCTCTAAACCTTGCTTAAGCTAGTAAAAATGGATGAAAGTATGGCACGTAGGTGTCATGTCAAGTTGTTCACACAAAATCTAAAAAGCCTTTAAGAAGGGCCAACTATTTGGATGCAACTGGCTTGGCGCCACCTCCATCATGGTTAACATGAGCTGATATTGTGTTAGATACAAAAGAAAAATGTTAAATACAACTCCACCTCAAGCAAAGAACAATTTATGAACACAAATCTATTTAATAACTTGGTCTACTTGTAAATATTATTAACTTTTGANAGATATGCTAAGCAGCGACTTACTATTAATTGACTAAGGAAGGTCCTTCAAAATAACAATATTCGACTAAGGAAGGTCCTTCAAAATAACAATATTCCTTCTTTCCTCGGCCGAGATGTTCAGATACAAAGTAAACTTTTCAGGCCTTTTCCAATAGAGAGGAAAATGCATTTCTCCTTATCAGAATCAATACACCTAAGCTTGAAAGCCAAAGTCTTAAAACCCTGTAAGATTGGGTATACATGGAAAAAAGAGACCAGTATTGGACACCATTCAAGGATAGCCAGTTGACCTCTGAACCTTGCTTAAGCTAGTAAAAATGGATGAAAGTATGGCACGTAGGTGTCATGTCAAGTTGTTCACACAAAATCTAAAAAGCCTTTAAGAAGGGCCAATTATTTGGATGCAACTGGCTTGGCGCCACCTGCATCGTGGTTAACATGAGCTGATATTGTGTTAGATACAAAAGAAAAATGTTAAATACAACTCCACCTCAAGCAAAGAACAATTTATGAACACAAATCTATTTAATAACTTGGTCTACTTGTAAATATTATTAACTTTTGACTTCAAAAATTTATAGACCTACACAATCCAAAATATATTATTATTGTCAAACATAAAACAGTCATGTAAGAATGAGATCGAAGGGTGCGATCTATAAGAACTATTAACACTCCTAAAATCAAGAAAAAAAATTATATTTATGATAATATAAACAAAATCCATGATATAGTAAACTAATTTTAGTGTTAATATGTTGTTATATTTTGAGCTTATTTTATTTGTTATTATCCTCTACATCTTATTAGACTCATGAGAGCCTATAAATATATGATAATAGAGAATACTTCAATTCAATATTTATTTTTTACTCTCATACTTTCATAAGATAGTTTTTATTGACTTGAACATGGGAGTCATTATAAGTAAACTTTCTTCTATGATAGGTCAAGAAAATATAAGGTTTAATCATTGAGATTTTTGTGACTTTTTTTAAATAGGTCTTTCACTCTTTTTTTTTGTCTCAACTGGGTTTTTATTTTTGCAAAATTGAAACAATTAGGTCTTTATCGTTAATTTTGTATTAACACCTTTAAAGAGTGTGCAAAGTGTCAGTTCATGTTTTTTTTGAATTTTTTAAATATTTTTTTAATTATTCTTTCTTTTATTTTGTTTAACGCTTGTGTCATGTGACAATGACAATGTGACGTGACACTAACAATATCATGTGTCATTGTGAGGTTCCATGTCATTATATTCATTTCAATTTAATTCCTATATTTTTATTGTCTTAATTTAGTTATGTATTTTTATTTTGTCTCAATTTAATCTTAATTTTCTTAAAAATTAAACAATTTTGTTCCTCTTCCCATTCGAGAGAAGAAGAGATCTTGAGTGGGTTTTCAAGGCCAAATAGAATAAGGGGAGTTTGAAGGAAAGAAAGAAGAGAACACATGCGTAGCACTCGAAAGGAGAACGCATGCAAATTGCATATATTATTATCACCTTCTTCACTGTTTGATATCTGTTATTTTATTTTGGTTGGTTTTCTTTCCTTTGTTTGTGGTGCTAATAATGGAGAAATAGACTTTCGTAGTAATTGGCCATAGGAATTGACATTCACTTATCATCCAATTTTGCAACCTGTATATCAAAACTGAATAGAAAAAGTTCATTGTTTTTTTCCTCAACCCAAAGTTTCCAAAAACAGGAAAAGAACACTAATTTGAATTAAAAATGGGTTCAATGTCCACGTTTGTACAAGGAGTTAGTGGTGAGTTTGGTTCAATGTCCATGATGTGATGTGATACAATCAGTCCTAGAATGTGTTTGTTTTCAGTCCGCTCACATGTTGAGGTCACATTTTCTGTATCGTTCGCCACAGAATCTATATAGTCCGGTGATTACTAGAAATTCAGGTTTCAGTTCTAATGCACACATTGTTTTGGAATTTGTGTACCATGTGAATATCTGTTTAGCTACAGTTGAGCTCTTACGCAACAGATTTTGAAACTTTGTGAGAAGAAATGAAATGACCTTTTCCAAAAGTCAAAAGTGATGATGCTGGTGGTGCAATTGTGGCTGCATGGATCCCTGTCATAATTTTCTGAAAACATTATAGGCATCAGCAATGGGATGGATTTGGAATTATTAAAGGACATAGTCTCAGGAATTGGATGGAGGAGATAATGGTTTTTCGCTTGGTTATAATTATATGCTTTAATCCTAAAACCCATTTCTTCCTCTAAAATATGCTAGGATCCTCATACTACATTCTCCACAANTTTCCTCAACCCAAAGTTTCCAAAAACAGGAAAAGAACACTAATTTGAATTAAAAATGGGTTCAATGTCCACGTTTGTACAAGGAGTTAGTG